TGAATTTTCGACACACGAGAACTACTCAACAAATTAGTTATGTGACCCATCTATCGTTCTCGACAATTCATTTAAATTATTCTCGACAGAGGACCAAATATCCACAAATGAGTCACTTGTCGATATAAACCGTCATTCTCAACAGATGAACTAGAGTTCTTGACAATTAAAACTAGTATTTCTCGAACATTATGGTTTTTTTTTTTTTTTGCTTTCGTATTAACGTCTGAGGAATTCAAAATTTCAAAAGATCTCGTCTTATTTTCGTAGTATGCAAACTATAAATATTGAATTCATGTACATATGTGTTGTAGTTGTTGTTTTCAACTAAATAAATGAGGTATCAACCCGTATTTGGATGACCAAGAGGGTCCATTGCCTAGTCAAAATCAAGAGGTAAACGCTAAGGGAGATTAACTAAGTAAAAAAATAGCCCAAAGAATCTGACCAAGATCTGGGATCATACCTATTGAAGAAGGTATGTTCGTCAATTATGAGAAATTCAAAATTTTAAATACTTTCATCTCATTCCGTATTTGCAAACTAGAAATATTGAATTCATGTCGATTAGTGTTGCAAATGTTGTTTTCAAATAGGTGAAGGAGCCATAGAGCCCGAAGTGACATGCCCGGACAGCGAGGAAGTCCCCTTAAGTTGTGCGTGATGGAGGCAGCCACCATACCTGTCGAAAGTAATAATGTTGTTAACACAAAGAGGCGATGATAGACATACATTCGATTTTCTACAACATCTACTAGGACTCCATACACCAAAGAGGGGAGAAAGAGAGTAAAGAAATAGTGTGATGAAATTTGTTAATACTAATTAGAATCGATTTGTGATAGTGTACTAAATGACCTCATGTTGCTTCCCTCTAAGAATGTGATTATAAACATGATTTGGTGGTAGCATCAATGTGTGGTTACACATTTTATTATTTCTCACTTCTTATATTTGTTGGATTGTTCAAGTAGCACAAGAAAAATTATTGAATTTCTTAATTGAAATCTGATTATGAGAAGTTTAAATACCAAAAATATTTCGGAACTTTGCTACAATTAAGATACCAAATACTCATGAAAATTTATTGCCAACAATTTCATGACGAAACTTTAAAATAAAATGGTACACATGATTTAAGATTCACATTTTTACATAAAAATTGATTATCAACAACTACATGCAGAAAACTTTAAGAAAAAATAGTACACATGATTCAATATTCATATTTTCCATAAATTATGGACAAAGTTTAGAGGATAAAGGTACACTTAGATCTTAACTCATCACACCAATTGTCATTCAAGCAATACTTAGATATGTGATTTGGTGGCTCTATTCTAAGTGACTATAATTGTTTTCCTTCAAGAATTTAATTATAAATAGCATCGCATGACTTTCTTCTCAATTACACTTAAACACTTCCCCAAGTTTGTAACACTTTATACATCAAACATTTTGAACAGTTTCACTTATACAACCATATTGAGATAATGTGTTCGTCTACAGGAAGCAACGAACCGTTGAACTTAAACGAGCTTCTACCGATACCTTTTTTGTCCCCATTTTTCCAATTATAATTTTTTTGAATGATGAGAAAGTCAACCTTCCAAATGGTAGAAGAGCCATTATCTGCTGTTCCTTTTCTCAACCTAGAAGAAATTTCAAGTGAAGATTCACAGGCACCGCCCAGTGTACTTGATGATGTGTTCGAGTTCATGGTTCCATTTGAAGATAAATCCAACAATGATGAGTCGTTGGCGAACATTTCATCTCCCAAGATAATTGTCATAAGCTTGGAGAATTCTAATGAAGACAGTGGGGGAACATTCAAATGTCGACAATGATTGAAGTGGGCTATGATTGTGTATGTCTATGTACTAAATTATATATTATAATTTTGTCAGTAATAAATATGGTAATGTCTTTACCAAATGTTTTGCAACAATTTATCCCTCATGCATCTTTACCAAATGTTTTGCAACAGTTTATCTCTTATGCATCTTATTTACAGTTAAGTTTTCTGCTTTGTAACCGAATATCGTGAATGACAAAAAATGATGATGATGATAATAATAATAAAAATAATAATGTAAATTGAGAATGTGCTCGACGACATGTCTCTTATACATCTTATTTGTAGTCAAATATTCTACTTTGCAACTATCTGTCGAGAATGATAGAAATCATTTATCGGGATGTCATGCAATTTTTGTCTATGTAATTATTTTGATTGTGAACTTAAACACAACTCATGTTTGCAAACGATAATAAAATGAAAATGATAACATTATAAGGGGAACATTCAAAATACAATTTCAACCACTTTCGGACATCTGGCCTATTTACGTGAGTTATGTTAGAATGGGTTGGAATACATGGTCCGATTATGACCAACTCTACTATAGCAAGTGCATATGGTAATATTTGTCGAAATAAAATGGAGGTGATTTTGTCTCCTCTCCATTTCCATTCGTCATCCACATGAACAAACTTTCCCTCATATAACACGATAAATTTCAAATAATTACTCATATTTGAAATGTTGAGATTGCAAATGTAAGAATTACGCACATTCCATATGTCAACATTTAATATCATCAAATTGGAACTTTCGAATGTTTAAATCTATATAATAGCAAAAAGAAAAATATAAGGTTTCAACAGTTTTCAAGTGTCGAATTCGACAGTTAATTTGTATGTCCCGACAGTCTGTAAATGTTGAGTTTGAAAGTTCAGATATCTAATCCGATGGTTTCGAAGATACTATTCGACAGTTGAACTGCCAGAATTTTCGAGAAAGCATGGAAATCCATATATTTGGTGGTTTGGGAGAAATTATTGACAACATTAATGGTGATAATCAATTCTTAACTACAACATCACAACATCTTTCTAAAAATAAATAAGAAATAACTCAATACTTCATTAAATATGTGATCCTTTACATTTCTTAAAGGATGTTGATATCTTTTCCTTCAAAAAGCATATAAAAAATAATCAATAAAAATTTCAAGATTTTTAAATAAATATGACCATGTTGTATTTAACATTTAAAATAGTAAACTATAAGATGAAAATATAAACAATTTTTAATAGCTAACATCTGAAAAATGGATGATGAATCTTATAGTAATTCTTGTTGATGATGAAATGAAGATGATGAACAAGAAGTTAGGGTTTTCGAATGGTAAGAATTTATATGTTTTTTTTTTTTTTAACTTTTGAAATTCTATATTTTTTTTTTGTTTAGCAAAATTCATATTACCCATATAATAATCACATCTCAATATTTATAATATACAAAACAAATCATCATATCACAATATTAATGGCATTCAAATCAAGCATTAAATGCTTCTAATAACATGTCACTAAGAGAAATATGGACAATTCACACAAAAAGTGATATTTTTGACAATCTTTGGTGCAAATCAATTTTTTTTTTCTCTTTGCATTTTCAAATTTAGTAACATTTATGAAAATTCCCCTAAGGTCATTTCACCATCTTGTTACTCCATCGGTGATAGTAGATTACCAAATAGTGATGGGAAAGACTATAAAAGTAGAAGTGATACAAACAATGAAAATGAAGATTTTACTATGTTCAAGACTTCATCACGGTATAAGGCGAAGGAATAAGAATTCATGTATGAGATATCAACATGAATGCACTTTAACTCTTCTTAATTGAAAGAATGCTGACTTGTCTCAAATAATTCACCTTTTTAACAAACGCTTTATCCATTAGTGTTGATTTTGACTGCCACTATTGATTTTATGATACAATCGAGTATTATCTATTTACAATGGATGCTCAACATGGGAAAAAACAATCGTTGAACATCTGGGACTATGACTGGAAAAATCCTTCGTGTTGATTTTAATTGCTGCAAATTTTTTGTTATATATACTATTATTAAGTTTAGATCTTTGTTAATCTTGTATGTTTCTTGACTTTTCATTTTACTTTATAAACCAATTTATAAATTGAAATGCTTAAAAATTCAAATACTATGCTACTTACAAGTTGCAAATTTATCCAATATTAAATTAACGAGAAGAATATTCACTGTATCAAGTTGTGATACTTAGGGACAGGGCGGGCGTCTACTATTGTACTGGAAATAGAAAACCTGAAAGCAGTAGGCCTCGAAAGTTGCAACAAATTTCGAACTGGTGCTTAATTATTTTCTTCAAATTAATCACAAAAAATTTCTAATGATTTCGATTTAGTCACTATCCATTTGTACACAATTAAGAACAATGTGTACTAGTGGAACATTTAGAGTGCGATCGAATCCCATTTCTCTATAAAAAAAAAAAAAGAAAAGGTTTTTGAATAGTGATTTTCGAGAGAATGTGTGATTGAAAATAAATTTATGTCAAATAGATGTTTAATTTCATTGAATTGAAACCCAATCACGTTAAAAAAAGAAAAAAAATATTACTTCCAATTGATTTTAGAAGAAAGATATCGAAAAATACAAAGTGATGTTAACAACATACACATAAGATTTGATGTTAATTTTATCGATAGAGTGATCTGACTTGAAAAACCAAGAATTTATAGGAATTATACTTGAAAAGTAAGATCTGACACGTTAAGTCCATGTTTGAAATCCATTAAAACAAGTATTTTTTTTATTTTTCTCAAACTTATTTTCAATCACATATTTATTCAGACAATAATATTTTGCACGCAAAATCAAAATTTTCCTTTTATTTTTAAATTATACATTCTTTAAAAAAATCACTATTTAAAATTTCATTTTTTTCCATAATTTTTTTTTAATGAATGTTAAACATATGCTAATTTTTTCGACGTAGGATCAAAATTGAACATTCAAGAAAATTTATATGAATTACTCCACAAAATTAAAATTTCACCCTGAAAGTGATCAAACTTTAGAGTCAAGAAATGTAAAGGGGTTATGCCTCAATAAATTTGATTTGAATCTCACCAACCCCGGCCAACAAAGGTAGATTTTTCACTTTATACATACAAATTTCAGGCACGACACAACCACCAAACTCATACATTTCTTCCTTTTCTCTTGTGCCAAATCTCTGTTTGGTAAAAGGACAGACATAGCCATGGCCGCCATGTCAGCCGCTGCCGCTGCCGCTGCCGCCGCCAACCCCAACTCCTTCCTCCTCAAATCCAACACCCAAATCAACGCCTTCCCTACTACCCACTCCCGCTCATTTACCGCCGCCACCACTACTGTAAACAAGCGCATAACATGCTCATCCACCACCTTCCAAACTCCGGCAGCCACCACCGTCGTCACCTCCTCAGATCGCGTGTTCAACTTTGCTGCCGGTCCGGCCATCCTTCCTGAGAACGTCCTACTCAAGGCCCAATCGGAGCTCTATAACTGGCGGGGATCTGGCATGTCTGTCATGGAGATGAGCCATCGGGGTAAAGAGTTTCTCTCGATCATTCAGAAGGCCGAGTCAGATCTCCGGATCCTGCTCAATATTCCGGAGAATTACTACGTCCTCTTCCTCCAAGGTGGAGCCACCACCCAATTCGCCGCCATCCCGCTCAATCTCTGCAACCCTGATGATCCTGTCGATTACATCGTCACAGGCTCCTGGGGAGACAAGGCCTCAAAAGAAGCCTCTAAATACTGCAAGCCCAAGACCATTTGGAGCGGGAAATCTGAGAAATACGTCAATATCCCCAGCTTTGGAGCCCTTGAGCAAACGCCTGAAGCCAAATACTTGCACATTTGTGCTAACGAAACCATTCATGGGGTCGAATTCAAGGATTATCCAGTTCCGACTAATGGAAATTCTTTGCTTGTAGCTGATATGTCATCCAATTTTTGCTCCAAGCCAGTAGATGTGAGTAAATTTGGGATGATCTACGCTGGAGCCCAGAAAAATGTCGGTCCATCGGGGGTTACAATTGTGATAATAAGATCGGATTTGATTGGAAATGCCCAGCCAAATACTCCTGTAATGCTGGATTACAAGATCCACGCTGAGAATAATTCACTGTACAATACGCCTCCTTGCTTCGGCATTTATATGTGTGGGCTTGTGTTCGAGGATCTCATTGCTCAAGGTGGATTGAGCGAGGTGGAGAAGAAGAATGTGAAGAAGGCACAGATTTTGTATGACACCATTGATGGGAGCAATGGGTTCTTTAGGTGTCCAGTGGAAAAGAGCGTGAGATCATTGATGAATGTCCCATTTACATTGGCAAAGCCAGAGTTGGAAGCAGAGTTTGTGAAAGAAGCAGCCAAGGAGAAGATGGTGCAGCTGAAGGGGCATAGGTCGGTTGGCGGCATGAGAGCTTCAATATACAATGCTATGCCTTTGGCTGGGGTCGAGAAATTGGTTGCATTCATGAAGGAATTCCAGGCAAGGCATGATGTTTAGGAATTGGATTGGATTGGATAATTCTGTCTTGATGAGATTATTGTAGCTACTTTTGTCTTGCTTTCTTGTTTGTCCCTGTTATAATCCTTATTAGTAATGTTTGTTTCATTTTCTTGTTTAGGCTGGCTTGTTAGGCATTTTTTACAATCTTAACTATGATAGCGAATGTTACCACTTGTTGAAGTTTACCAATTAAAGAATAAATAGAGAAGTTATCAAATTCAATTGCTGCATTGCTTCTTTCTCGAGTATTTTGGTGTGTACGTGTCCCAAAAGAATAGTGCTTGAACTGGATTCCTGGTTCTTATTTTGGTATCTCTCCTATTAGTTATAGCTTTTGGGAAGTCTGGTTACATCTTCATACATCAACCGGCCTCCAAAGATTTTATTATACCAGGTAGGAAGCAGTAGTCATTTTTGTTTACAGCTTGAGCGGACCAAAAATGAAGATGTTGACTGTTAAGAAACTACAAGTGCTTAATCACTATATGTACTAATTGTCCAACTACTCTGATTATATCTATTTCAGGGTCTGAAACTTCCATATTTCGAGTAGTTAGTTTAGAAGTTTTGGCCCTTCAAAACAAAGAAGAGAAGGAAAATTACAGATGATTTATAACTTTAGGGAGTGTTTTTAGTTTCGAATTACTTCCCACCCATACATGTGCCAAGTAGAAGGCCATTACATTCGAATGAGTAGTCATGATTGGAAAAGGAGAATGGAAATTTTTCAGATATCCGAGAATGAATGGTGAGGCTAAAACAGACTCCCAAATAAGTTTGTGCCATGAGTTTGGAAATTTGTAAGTAATAGATGGCATGCATAATGCAAGGAGGGAACTAAAGACTGAGTGAGTAAATCTAGATTTGAGTTTTCTGGTTCTTTTCTCCGTGATACAATATGAAAGATATGGTTACTCCAAAAATAAATCAATATTATACGATGACCATACATCTTCCCAATTCATTATCTTATTAGGAAACATGCTGATTGCGGTGGTCATTCGTGCTTGGAAAAGACTGCCCAAGGCGTTTGCTTTCTCCCTTGGGATGAATTTCTGAATCTCACTAGTTGCTGTTTTTGGTACATCTTCAAAAATTACAGTTCGGGGAGCCATATAATGAGGCAAATTATCTCGGCAGAAGTTAATTATGTCCTGTGCACATAGTGTAAATCCTTCCTTCACCTTCAGAAATGCAGAGGGTGTTTGTCCCCCATAGCAGCTTCAATAACTGCCGGATGCCTATACAAGATCATTTCCATTTCTATAGAGCTTATATCCTTGCCACCAGAGATTATGATGTCGTTTAACCTGTCCTTAGCTTCTACATATCCATCAGGATGTTTAACAGCAAGATCACCACTTTGAAACCACCCACCGGCAAAAGTTTCTTCTGTTGCTTTCTTATCTTTCAAGGATCCACTCATTACTGTATTTCCTTTAAACATAATCTCATCTATTGTCATACCATCTGCTGGTACACTGTTCATGGTGACAGAATCTTTTACATCAACTTCCTGTAGACCAATATGCTGCACTCCTTGCCGGGCTTTAAGCTTTAGTCTTTCTTCACAAGGCAAAGTATCCCATTCGGGCTTCCTGATGCATGACGTACCAGGACCATATGTTTCTGCAAGTCCATACAAGTGGGATACCCTAAACCATAGCTCCTCTATCTTAGAGATTATCTGCAGTGGTAGTGGTGCACCACCAGTCATTATATCGACCTTGTGAGGAAGTGGCCTCTGATTACTTGGTGGTGAATTTATGATCAAGACTGTGGGTGCCCCACCCATGTGTGTGACCTTGTTGAGGACAATATTGTCAAATATTTCTTTTGGGAAGAGATGTCTAAGGCAAATGTTAGTGCCACCCAAAGCTGCCAAACCCCAAATTAGGCACCACCCATTACAGTGAAACATTGGCACAGTCCAAAGGTAAAATCGGCATTGAGGTCATTTCTTGAAGAAAAATTATTGCAAGGGAGTTGAGATATGCACCCCGATGGTTATAAACCACTCCTTTGGGACGTGATGTCGTGCCAGAAGTATAATTAACACTAATAGGATCCTATTCAGATTTTGGCCTCTTTGTAACGAAGTCATTATGTACCTTGTCCAGGAGATTCTGGTACTCAAAATCTCTCAGAAGTAGCATTGGCAGGAGATAGATTGTCAAATTCAGATATTAATACTAGAATTGGTGACTTCATGTTTTTGCCTGCAAGGATATCAAGTGCTCCTTGTGCAATGTGAAGCAACTGATAGTCCACAAAAATGATCTTAGCATCTGAATGTTGCAGAAGGACAGATATCATAGCTGAAGCATGGCGTGTATTTAGCGTACAAAGAACTGCTCCAGCCGTTGGCACTCCAAAATGCAGCTCTTGCATTGCTGGTATGTTAGCGGTCAGAGACGCTACCTGTTCAGAATATACAAATTAGAAGTGCATTAGCCAAAAGCAGAAATCAAGAACAAATCATTTTGAATACAATGTTTTACTAGAACCACAAACTGCTCCGGAAAAGTGAGACCCCAAGACAAGTACAATGCTACAAACGTTTGTAAATGCTCAATGCAACTGTGGAGCTCATCAAAGAAACTTAAAAACCATGTGTGATTGTATGTACGATGGAGGGGAAGAGGGTGATGAGGGATGACAGAAGAGGGGATAGTGGTGGTTATGGCGGTGAAGGAGGAGGTGGTAGAGGTCATGACGACGGGGATGGAGGAGATGACAGAGGAGGTGATGGAGGTGTCAAAGGGTAGGAAGCGTCATGTAGATGTGCTGATGCCAGTTTCGGTGCCGAAGGAGTTGGTGGACAAGAAGTTGAGATTGCCATCACATGATTTGCAGATGCAAATATAGTGTCCCCCTTTTTTTGCTTAAAAATATTTATAAATTTGTCCAATAAATTGTGAAAACGCATAGAAATGTGTTAAAACAAGTCGAAATAAAGTTTAACAATTAAAAATATAAACTATATTAACGAAAATGACATTAAATATTGATTAAAAGTAATGGATATTCACTAGATCTTTGTGTTGGACTTTTGATAAATTTTTTAGGTTTAGGGTTGGAGAAGATGAAGGATGAAAGAATCGTTAGTTGCGTTGGAGAAAATGAAGAAGGAAGGAGACTTTAGTTTGGAATTTGATTTGGGATGTGATATTTTTGTTTTGTAATTGGCAGTGTGTTAATATCTTTTTATTCTAACTTATTTTAATAATTTATAAACTTTAAGGAAGATATTTCTATCTTTTTAGATCAAAGAGGTCATTTTCACCTATGGTTTTGTTGTTTGCAAATATGGATCTTTGACTAGGCCAATGAGAATATTCCTCCCCAAAACTCTTAATCACTTCGTCAACTCTCAAGGAATCAATTGTTTGTTTCAAAATTAGTAAGTCTGTCCTGACTTGGGCTCTAAGTTCTCCATCGTTCGAAATGAAATACTGATCTATATAATCCGGAGTCTCTGATGTTAAGGGAAACTTTGTCATTTCAGAATTTCAAATAACTGTAAATATGGATAGAATATTCTTTTGGCTCGATTCAGTGGCTATTCATTGTTTCACTTCAAGAAGATAAGAAACTTTTGTGCATACACGATCCGATGGGGTTAAAAATAGAATTTAGATGAATTTTAAAATAGAGTTCGATTCAAATTATGATTGTATAGATTAGTCTAGATTAGTTTTAAGATTTTTATAAAGTTCTTGCCCTGACTCTTTCTTGAAGCCCTTTTTTCTTCTCTTCTGCCTTCTATTCTCAATCTTGTTTTTGTTTGTTGCATCCTACACCACTATCGTATATAAAGAGTAGCAAATTACTTATAAACTCAAATAAAATAATCAAATATGGTAGAGGGATTATTCTTTAGAGATTTTTTGACAGCAAACAGCAAAGTTTATTGATATTTCAGAGAAGTGCGTTCATTTTAGAACGATAGTAACTATCATGTGAAAAAATTGTTATATTGGGACATGTGACCAAAGTCAGTTTCTCAAGAAACTTTTCGAGTTATTACTCAAAAAAAAAAAAAAAAAAAAAAAAAATCAGTTTTCAAAGAAAATTTTTGAATTATTACAAAAAAAAAAAAAAAAAAAAAAAATGGAATTAAAAAAACACAAGTAAAACAATCAACTGGAAACATTATTAATAGAAATTAATGAACTGAATAGCTATACCTTGTAAAATTATAGAGATAGTAATACTGTTAGGTCTAAAATGTATTGGCAAGCGCCATGTCCAAAATGTTATTTAATCAAGTTGTAGTTAGGATCAAGGTCTCAAGTGTTGGGAATGTCTTTGGAAGGAGTCAAAATTAGTTTAAGAAGATAAAGACAAGGCAAAAACACTCGAACTCTGCTAGGAGAAGCGCTCAAGCGGCTTTAGAAATGAATGGATAGCTCGCTGGCCACCTAGTCAGCGCTTGAGCTGACGGCCTCTAGTCGCTATTTGCCTAGCAAAGGCTCGAGTGGAAGGTATATCCGGTGAAACCCTATATTGCGATTTTGGGACATTTATTTAAAAGGACACTTTATTGAAGATCAATTACACAATTCATAATTCTCTTACCTCAACCATAAGATCAAAATACCAAAACAGTCCAAAAGATCAAAACACCAACAAAATCCTTTACTAAATAGCTTTCAAGGTTCTGAAGATAAAAAAAAAAATGACTAGAGTTCCAAGTGATCCATGAGAGAAAAAAGAAGTCTAGAGATTTTGGAATGTGTTGGAGCACACAATCGAAGAGTTCTTCAATGATTAAAAATTGGGATCAAAGTCTACTAAGGTTAAATTGTGTTTAAACCAATTCTGTAGGTTAAATATTTTCTAATGGATCTTTTCTGACAATGAGTGCCCGGAGATTTTTTTTCTCTCTTGAAAAGTTCTTCAGTGGGTTTTCTATTGAAAACAAATATTGATGTTTTTATTATTTTCATATTTATGCTAGGTTGATTGATTGTTAGGTTTAAACTGACTTTAAAATTCATCTAAATACAATAATTTGTAACTTATTGCATGTTACTGTTTATTTGATTTTAACTCCGCATATATTTTTTTTGTTTTTTTTTTTTTTTTTTTTTTACCCCCCCATTTTTCATTTTTTTCCCCCCCCCCCCCCCTCTATTATTGGAGGCTTGTTTGCATTAGGGACATGATTGATTATTTATTTTTATAGCTTTCCTTGTATAGGCATGATTTCGTTTTCTCGTAT